TTGGATAACTGGCTATGTCAATTAGATAAATTGAGTACTAAGTATGTTCGTCAGTTTTAGAATCAATAACATATGTTGAAGAAAAGTACACATATTTTTTACTAAACATGGCAACTACACTCAGATGAATATAATAACTACTAACCGCTTTGACCGGTATTCACAGGCGATATATATATTTCCATCAACTTGTACAACGTTTACAAAAACTGTACCACGCGAACAATAAAAGTCGTTCAGCATCGATGATGTAATAGTTGTATTGGGTAGCGATGTAGTCTTTACGCCGTTCAGCCATGCCAGATACAACGTGCCACGGTTTTCCATACACACCATACCTTCATCTGTTTAATTAAATACAATGCTATGTCTTACAAATATTGTAGGTATGTCTTCATGTTAAATATTAAAAATTCTATAATAATGTAAAGGAAATGAAATTAGATTTGGTAGTACTTCCTCCGCACCAACCGGACAATTGGGGGCGGGGCGGTATCATCGTATTCAAGTATCTAATGATAACGATGACTGGAGAGAGCGAGAAATGGGGTTATTTCGGGACTAACATATGGTTTAGTTTTTTTTCAATAATTCGCTTACGCGTAAGTCTCTTTAGCAGTGGGATGAAACCGGAGGATAAGGAGAAAACCCACGAGGTTGGAAACTATGGCTGTGAATTTCACTTCTTTATTTCAACAATGCAGGAACAAATATTAAAAGATATTACATCTATAATTCTAACAACCAATACAGCACGCAGTAATATAACATATATGTAACAGATTGTAGTCGGTAAGCTTGTCTGGGTTATGCGTCTACCTGGGATCATTTATAATGGTGAAGGTGTTATCAAGAACCTTATTGGTATTTTACAGCCATTCACAAGTTATAATACATATGGGCGAACAAACTTTTTTTCTGTTTTTTATTATAGACTAATTCGAATCCTAAGATATATCAGTATAATAGGAATATCCCAAAATTCAACAGAATATCACAAAGAACAGTAACTATTTAATATCACAGAACAGATCACTATCAAATATCACAGTAATTCAAAGATATCAAATCAAAATAGATTTATAATTGTAGCCGAACAGGGAAATTGGTGTCGAATGAGTATAGCAGTCCTCCAAATTTCTGGGGGAAACACTGCGGATGAATATTTCCTTGGTACTAAAATCTCCTTGCAGTGGCAAAGAATTCTACACCTCAAAACTTTATTCCGAGAAATCTTTATGACATGTTGCTTGCAGTTTATCAGCAACCAGCGGCTGCCAGGCAGGATATACCAAAATTTTGCAAGAGATGGATAGAGAACAAGCTAAAAACGATTTTTTGTACAATCAGGGGCCATAATCCAGAAAGTTATGGTCTGAAATGGACTGAGATTTGATTTTTGGAAAATACACATACTTCTACACAATTTGCGTACAAAAAACGGCGATTTTGTCGGGCGGTTTCATTTCGATTTTCCCGAAATTCGAATTCAATCCTCATTATGGTGGAATGGTAATATATCTAAACGGTTTTTAATATCGGAAAAAAATTTGACGTCTAGAGAATACACAAGCTAAAAAATACTCTAGGAAGTTATGTTCGGGTATGTGTGATTATCAAAAGAAACCAAGATCATTATGATAAAAAGATGCATTTATATTTTCATCCAAATCGGATGAAAACTGGCATCTAGAGGGTCCACAACCTTGATATACCATATTTTTACACTATTTGTGTAAAAGGAGTGACCATTATGTCCGTCAGTATTAGTCCGATTTTGACGGATAAAAATGGTGACCTCTATGGGGACCACAAGCTCAAAATGAGATTCTTCGTACAATCAAGGGCAATAATTCAGGAATAGAGAGAGAGAAATGGGGTTTAACGTCCACTCGACATAAACTAGGTCGTTTCGGGTCTAACATATGGTTTAATTTTATTTCAATAATTCGCTTGCGCGTAGGGGTCTTTAGCAGTGGGAGGAAACCGGAGGACCCGGAGAAAACCCACGAGGTTGGACAGGCGACCCTACTCCTTGTCACGTATAACCGGGGATTCGAAACCACGCCAGTCGACTCAATGACAGACTTTATGATACAGCGCGCGCACGCTAACCATTCAGCCCCACCCCCCAATTCAGGAATATGCGCGAATATCGAAAGGAACCAAGATATGTGTGTAATAACCATGCATTTCAGGTGTCACCAAAATCGGATCAAAATTGTGACCTCTATGAGGTTCACAACCTTGATATACCAGATGGTTACCCTATTTGCGTAGAAGAGGCGGCCATTTTGTCAGACAGTTTTGGTCCGATTTTCACGAAATTCGAACTCAACCATCATTAGGGTGTAACAGTGATATACTAAAAAATAATATTTAATCGGATAAAAATTGTGACCTCTAGAGGGACCACAAGCTAAAAGCGCGATTTTTTGTACAATCAGGGGCCATAATTCAGGAAGGCACGATCCGATATGCGCGAATATCGAATGGAACCAAGCAAGATCGTTGGGTTATAACCATACATGTTCATATGTAGGCAATTGGCCGGTCATTAACATACATAGGTTACCACTAATAAAAACAGCAGTGCATTTCCGCAGTTTTGTATTGGTTCTGAACATCCCCTACTTTTTTTGAAGAGTATAGTTCGATACATGCCAATATCGAAAGGAACCGAGATCTTTGGGAGATAGACCTATATATTGCACGTTTCGTCAATATACGATAAAAATTGTAGAGTGTCCACAAACAAATTGTGGACGGACATGGGCGATGACAATATACGTCCACATGAAAAGCTAAATCCATTTCCAGAAATTCGAATTTTACTAAATGACCACAATTGGTGTGAAAATATGTTTTGGAGGTAGTTGATTCTATTTTCGACACATTTTCTCATGTTGATAAATAATTGGTTCCAATGGGTCAAAATAGGGAGGAAATCCCATTAGCGATTAGGTAGGGAATTAAGGAGAGGGGTTCACTAGTCCGGTGGACTAATGAACTCTAGCACTAACCCAACCCTAACCCTAATAATACATATCGGTGGACTAATGAACTCTAGCATTAACCCAACCTTAACCCTAATAATAGATATCGGTGGACTAATGAACTCTAGCACAAACCCAACCTTAACCCTAATAATAGATATCGGTGGACTAAAGAACCCACGGACTAGTGGAACCAGCGGACTAGTGAGCATTCCCCGGATTAAGAATACTCGAGTCAGATCTAATACGCGTGCATTCATCAGGCATCAACTAAAATTCATATAGACACTCTGGTCAACCACTGTCACTGCGGAAGCAGCGTAGCAGGCATGAAGAAAGGTGCCACTCCAGATATCCAGTGAACCATTCGATATTGAACTGCACACCGCCATTTCGAACAGAACGGAAAGATAACAGGTATTGGAGGACGACAATAATAAGCCGGTTAAGATCCCTGGCCTTGACTAAGTTCAATAATGAGCGAAGATAACAATTTCAATGACAGATAATTTAGGACAGATTTAAATTTGGTATTTAGTTTCATTACATCAATTTCTTGACTAAGTTCGACAATGAGCATTGTTTGCTTAAGTTACAAAGAGTGGTGAACAATTTCATTGCTAGCTGCTTAGAAAAATGTTATATGTACAGGTAATTAATGAGGGTTGTCAGATTAAGGACACCAGCCTCACTGTCGATTTGTTAAATATATCTAGATGACTTACAGGTTATTAAATGATGTATTCGATAATGTTGCTGTAAAATGTACACGAACAACAACCAGCGGCTGCCAGGCAGGATACGCCCACATTTTCGAGAGATGGATAGAGAACAAGCTAAAAAAAGTGATTTTTCCTACAATCAAGGGCCATAATTTAGGAAATTACAATTCGATATGCGCAAATATCGAAAGGAACCGAGATCTTTGGGTTATAAACTTACATTTCAAGTTTCAACAAAACGGATAAAAATTGTGACCCCTATAGGGTCCACAACCTTGATATACCATATTTTAAAGCTATTTGAGAACGAGGGGCGGCCATTTTGCCTGTCAGTGTTGGGCCGATTTTCACGAAATTCAAACTCAGCCGTCCTTAGGGCGTAACGGTGATATAATAATACTTTTTTTTTAAATCGGATAAAACATTACGACCTCTATAGGGTCCACAAGCTAAAAACTCGATTTTGTGTACAATCAGGGGCCATAATTCAGGAAGTCACGGTCCGATATGCACGAATACCGAAAGGAACCGAGATCTTTTGTTTATAAACTTATATTTCAAGTTTCACCAAATAGGATTAAAATTATGACCTCTATAGGGTCCACAACCTTGATATACCATATTTTCACGCTATTTGAGAACGAGGGGCGGCCATTTTGTCCGTCAGTTTTGGGCCGATATGCGCGAATATCAAAAGGAACCGAGATCTTCGGGTTATAAGCATACACGTCAAGATTAAACCAAATCGGATAAAATTGTGACCTCTACAGTGTTCACAAGCTAAAAACGTGATTTTTCGTATAAGGGGCCATAATCCATGAAGTTACAGTCCGATACATACCAATATCGAAAGGAACCGAGATCTTAGGTTGATAAACCTATATTTCAAGTTTCATTGACATCGGATAAAAATTATGACCTGTAGACTGTTCACAAACAATTGTGGACGCACGGACAGGGGCGACGACAATATACGTCCACATGAAAATGTTGGCGTATAAAAATTAATTTACATTTGAATCAGTCAGTTATACATTATTTAGTATCGAAGTCTGTTTTAAAACTAGAAACTTCTGTGTACTAAAACTATGGCAATTGTATCAAGAGATTGTCTATCTGAACAACCACATGTCAACGTCGGATTCGTGGCGGGGAAATTTTTAACAGGGAGATGGACAATTCAACAGGTACCCGGTAAGTGATTCTTTTGACATTTGTGATAACTTTCTCTGTGATTGTTTCTGTCGATTTATTAAAAAGTGATTCGTTTAGTAATGTGACAGAGTGAAGATTTATTTTAATCTATTTGTATAATATATGCTATTTTATTGTATAGTGTTCTTTTTGCACAGTGTCCTTTTATGCATGTTTTAACACAGTGAGCACATTTAACCTTACACACCAAGTATTGCTATAACATCTTTATCACCCTTGTCTGTCTCTATAGTTTTCTTGTGGACTGGTGAGTAGTGTTCAACTCACCATGTGCATGTTCTCTCTTATCTGAACATTCATTGGTCACCTGACTATTTTGACATTCTTACTTTAGATTTTGTTGGAGAAAGATCACCTTCTGATTTTCTCCAGGTATCTACTAGTTAGTTAGTTTTGGCGGGATTTTGGTATTTCATCAATATTCCAATTTCTATAATTAGCTTTAGTTTGATATAGTATAGTGTTTAATAAGGTTACAGATGAATTAAATAGGAATTACAGATTCAACAGCAGGTATGTGTAATGTTTAAGTTAATAATTGTTTTAAATTAGGTACCAATATATTTTAACCAGTAATAGTAATAGTAGTTTATAGATTGGCAGCCATCTTGAATTTTAGTAAAAGTAATATTTAAATGTTTCATTTAAATTAAATATCTTGAAGTTACAAAGTATCCTGGGTTAGTACGTTATCCTATATTACCATTGAAGTCTTATACTTCAATATTATTTACCATTCACATATTTATAGATGTGTATAACTTTACAGGTTTATTGGAAGTGCTTGCCACCATCTTTTGGCTTCCAAGTGGTTGGAAAACCCCTTTATAGGGTAAGCACCTAGCCAGTCAATTATATTAGTAATTAAGTTATATAATATATATATATTATAAGTTAGTAATTAATATATATATATTTTAAGTATTATTTCAAATCATTCATTATTATATTATAAATTAGATCTATGGAGTCGTATAATATTATGTATAGTTGTTTATCTGTGATATTTGTGATTGTAATGTTTTAATGAATTGGTGTAAATGTTATGTTTTATTTATAGTACGTATTTATGTATTTCAGGGTTTTTATTGTGGTTATTATTAATAAACCGATTTATGCGAGAACCTGAACCCTTGTGTCTTTTTCTTAATCCGGAAATTGCACCCTACAACATTTGGAGCCCGATAAGGGACTGGATTGGATTATCGACATCAACATCATCACCACCTGGAAATTGGAGATAGAACATCAACTATATTGCGGTCTAACATTTAACAGAACATTTGCGTGTGTGTGGATTTACAGTGATAATAACATTTGCGGATAGTGGTACCACTTCAAGTAGTGTTCATATTGTTTCTTTGGATCCAAACTGGTCAGTTATGTTTATATATTAATTATTATTGTCAATTTCTGTGTAATTAAGATTACATATAGTATTAAGTCTTAGTTAAGGTCCTTAGCAATTATCTAATTAGTTTTCCCACCCTTTATCTTTCCAGCAAGCTTGCATATCCTCATTAATGAACCTTTTATTTTTAGTTAAATTAGTTTAGCCATAGTTTAGACATATTCAAAGTACTATTTTCTATTACAAGTTGTATGGTATATATTTTCCATATATTTCTTTACAACTAAAACTTTGGAAATAATAGTTTGATATTTTCTAAGCATACTTCTACATAGATATTTATATATTAGAACAAGCTTAAAATTTGGAAATAAGACTGTATTATAGTCAAGAAACATCAAAATATTTGATTGTTTACTTGTTGCTATGTAAACAGACTCCATTTTCTTAGTTAGCCATTTTGTTTATTTACAGTATCCTGTAAAAGTGACTCCATTTTGTGTCAGTTTTCCCCACCCCATTCTTTATAAGTTCTACACTTTAAGGTGTTTCTAGATCATTATCAAGACATTAAACATTCATTACATTTCAAGATACATTTAGCATTTATTTAATACATGCAACTCAACCGATTAGACTTAGAGTATAATTGTCATTATAAATCTATAATTTATTTCGGTTGTTTGAAATTAAATTGTTAAATTAATGTGTTTAGGGAATAAAATTTATAATAAACTTTAATCAAATAAATAAACTTAAATTAATTTAATATTATATACTATTCAAAAAAAGTAGGGGATATTTGATTTTGGGGGCATAATACTAAAATATGCAAATGACTACGAAAAATATCACTATAGATCCTAACAGTAGAAACATTTCCAGTTACATGTGACGCCCAAACGCACCAATAGCTACCGCATGGAATGCAGATGATGCTTGGGATCATCATGGGGGTCCAACTCAAGATTTGCACGACTCTGACTTTGAATGTTACAGTCATTGTGGCATTGAATTCCAGGGTGGAAACATCAGTTTAATTGTTTTAGTGACCAGAAAACAAATTTTGATATGCGTCGGCTTACCCAAAATGAAGGTTACGTGCCCTTGGCATGCTACAGATCGGCACAACACAGGCGGTTGTGGCGCGGACGATGAATGTTTCTCAGTCTGTCATAAGCAGGCTATGGTCCAGATACCGTGATACACAATCTGTACAGGACAGACCACGCTCAAGAGGTCGACCAAGGGCGACAACTCAAGCCCAGGATCGATTTATCCGTACCTTGGCCTTGAGAAATCGTGTCATCACAGCAAATCAGATCAGCGCTCGTCTTCAAACAGGCACTGGTGTGAGAGTGAGTGGCCAGACGATTCGGAATCGACTGCATAGGGGTCACCTTCGCGCCCGACGTCCTCGCGTGATCCCTTGTTTGAGAGATCATCACATTCAGGCAAGACGTCGTTGGTGTAGGGATCGTCAACACTGGGATAATCGACCCTGGAGCAATGTGATGTTTTCAAATGAGTCAAGGTTCACTGTTGATTTTTTGGACAGACGTAGGAGGGTGTGGCGTCGTCGAAACGAGCGCTTCCAAGACGTTAACGTCATCAGACATGATCGATTTGGGGGTGGTTCTGTTATGGTGTGGGGAGGCATCACTGTTGCTGGAAGAACGGCTTTACATGTTGTTGCAGGGCGTGTTACAGGCCAGTACTACCGGGACAACATCTTGGCAGTCCATGTTGTGCCGTTCGCACGACGTCATGGCCGCCGTTTCATCTTCCAGGATGACAACGCAAGATGTCACAGGGCCAGGATCGTTACAGGTTACCTCCAACAACAGAACATCACCACATTACCTTGGCCAGCACTGAGTCCCGACCTCTCCCCCATCGAGCATGTCTGGGACATGCTTGGACAGAGGTTACGTCAACGTCAACAACGTCCTGCCAATGTCCAAGAACTTGCTGCTGCGTTGCAACAGGAATAGGACAATCTGGACCAAAATGACCTTAGACGTCTCATTAGGAGTATGCCACGTCGGATCAATGCTTGTTTGGCAAACAGAGGAGGATTTACCCGTTACTGACTTGGTTGTGATGCTGTGGTAACTTTGCTGTTTGACCCCGGGTATCATTTTACCCTTATAATGGTCAGTCGGTGCCTTACTTAGTCTAACGATCATTTGGAATAAATCGATGAATGTGAACTTCATTTCATTTTGTCATTTGTTTCTTCGTCAGTTTCATTAGGTGACTTTAATAACACTTAAAAATCAAATATCCCCTACTTTTTTTGAATAGTATATTTAGGATTTGGAATTTGGAATTATAATTTAGAATTTGAATTTAAATTTGGATTTAAAAGTTAGGTTTAAGATTTAAGAGATTTAAAATTTAAAATTAAACTTTAAAATTTAAACTTTAATTAAATTTCGACTTGTTTATATTCGGTATTGGTCTATTTTAGGATTTTATAGTTTCAACTTTGAATTATTGTATTCGTATAAGCGTAGGCTACTCTTGGTAATTGGTTTTTTAGTTCGTATAATAAGTTTATAATTGGACTTTGTTTATATTTGGAAGTGGTTTATTACTTAGGTAGTGGTATACGTATTGTCAGTCAGTAGTATTATATTTTTTTTCTAATGTACTTCCAGTCTTCAACTATTTATTTCCAGCTATTATTTCATTTTTCCCTATCTAGTTTCGCTCTTCTTCTACATTTACACACATACATGCAACTACTAACACAATTTACACAATGCACATTAGTATATGTTATTACTTGTAGGTTTTAGATTTTCAGGTTAATATTTCAATATTGTGTGTTGTTGGTTTTCCGTCCAGTTCGTCAATAACTACCAACCTATTGTGAGCTTATTCGCAGTGCGAATAGCTATATATATAGATTCTCTACATTTGTGTTTATATTCCAATGTGTTTATAGGAGTTACGTGTATTTTACTTGCATTGCGACTTTGCGTTATCCTGTTTTGCGTTATATAAGTTAGTTATATAAGTTTGCGTAATGTACCGTATTGCGTGCTAGTACTAGTTGCGTTTCATTGCGTTTATATTATTTGTGTTGTATTGCGTTTCCGTTCGATATTTGCGTTCGTTTTATATTTGCGTTTATAGCGTATCCGTCCGATTGCGTCAATCCTACTAGTTCATAATTGCGAATATTTCTTTTGTGTTTTTAGTTTAGTGATATAATTTTATAATTGTGAAAACTTGACTTTGTTTGTATACTAGTCGCAATCAAAGTTAATTAGTAACCATTTGGTGTTTGAGTTTGACTTGGTTTATTGGGTGTTGTCTAGACTACTATTGTGTTATCTTGGATCATCATCTTTTTGTGTCAACATGGCAACTGGAGGAGCAAGAACAAAGACACAGAGCATGAGTTCCGAGGAAATTAAGAATTTGGCAGAAACTTTTTCCAGCTTAGGAGTAAAGCCAGATGGAGACACCCCAGAACACTTAATCGACTGGATGTTCAACTACTTACAGTCATCTGGGAAATTGACAGGAAGTGTTTCTGAAACCAAATCTGAAGTAAAAGAAAATCATCAAGGTCAGGGAAACCCACACAGATCAACGGAACATGTGAAATTTTTGCCTCAACTACCAAGAGTATCTACGTTTTCTGGAGATGTATTCTCCAAAGGAGATACCACATTTGATCTTTGGAAGTTCGAAGTTCTTAGTCTTCTTCAAGATAACCAACACAGTCCAGAAACCATTAGACTAGCTGTCACCAAGTCATTGAAAGGAGAAGCAGCACGAGTGGCCATGCGACTGGGACATGATGCCTGAACTAGATCGTTACTCTCCAAGTTGGAAAGCAGATTTGGAATGGTGGAAGAAGGCCAGAGTTTACTGTCACAGTTTTACTCTACTACGCAAGGTCCAGAAGAATCTGTTTCTAAATGGGCATGCCGTATCGAGGATCTGTTGGACAAAGCTAGACTTGAAGGTGAAGTAGACAGAGGAACATTCGACGCTAAACTGCGAAACAAGTTATGGAGTGGATTGAATCAACAACTGAAGGACAGAACTGCCCATAAGTATGATAGGATAAACGACTTTGAACATCTACTAAGAGAAATTAGGAAAATTGAGAGGGAATCTGCAACTGCTCCTATACCTGCACCACGATCATCAATAAAAGGACAGGTCAAAATGGTTCAACATGCTCCAGATGACGATATTCGATCGCTGCTGTCATCATTAACTGCTTCTGTTCAGAGTTTACAGAAAGACGTCACCGAAATGAAGTCAAAACCGTCTAACTTCAGTAATCGTCCAAGTCCGATACCACCAGAACAGTAGACCTAGACAACCAGTTTCCTGTTTCCGTTGCGGTCAAGTTGGCCATATAGCTCGTGGATGCAGAATGGCAATTCCTAACAAGGATTTAAACTGGTAGATGCTTTGGATGAGGGACAGTTGCAAGGCATGGACATTGAAAGTCCCAAACCTACAGTTATTGGACCTAGTAATGTCACTGTAATCCACATCAACAGTAAATCAACATCTGCATTACTGGACACAGGCTCAACAGTTTCTACGGTTTGTGAAACGTTTTTTTAAAACACAACTGGAAGACAAGGATTGCCAGCTTACTTCACTAGACGAATTAATTAACATCGAGAGTGCAGGAGGACAAAGATTACCGTACTTAGGCGTTGTAAGTGCTTCACTCACTATACCAAGTTTGAATCTACCTTCGCTGGATGCTTTGTTCTTAGTAGTGCCTGACACACCCTTTAGTCGGACTACACCTGTATTAATTGGAACAAATGTTTTACGTCCAACTCACAATCAAGTTATATTGCGATTCATGGAAAGGATTACTCCAGTCACATAAATCTGCCT